CAGCCCTGTGGAACAGAACGGCAGTTGGCACAGAGGCGCTTAGCATTAAGGAGGTTGGCACGAGAATGCCGCTTTGGCGCCTTCATCCTTTGGAAAACCTGGCAATGGGGAGGCACAATCGACGGGGTCGATTCCCCTCCAGCAGCCGGCCAGGGTAGAAATAACTCCAGAAATCAGTTTTTAGTAACTGTGCTATCCATGGCAGCTTTTCCTGCCAGTGTGCCATTGGCCAGATTCACATAAAACCTTACTTCGAGACCACCACTGTGACTCCTGGTGTGACAGATGAGACTATCTGGGCTGCAGAAGAGGTGTGTGGTGGGGGCCGACGGTCGGCTCCTAACCCTTGAGACATCTAAATGCTGCCTCATCTCTAGGAAAGATCTGAGTTGCTTTTGCCATTGGGATGACAAGGCACCTGATAAAAAGCAACCTGGGGAAGGTGTGGTCCATTAGAGCAATGGCTCAGGGGTAAAGGCATCCAAAACTGAGGGCTTAAAGAAACGTTTATCTTTATTTTATGTGTTTGAGCGTTTTGCCTACATGTCTACACTGTACCATGTTCATGCCCGGAAGCCAGAAGAGGGCATCAGATCCCCTCGAACCGGAGGTACAGATGCTTGTGAGATGCCATGTGGGTGCTAGGAGTTGAGTCTGAGTCCTCTCAGAGCAGCCAGTGCTCTCAACCTCCGAGTCGTCTCTCCAGCCCCCACTCTTCCTCTTTATAAAACAATTATCGCAGGTGTTCTGTTGAGGAGACAGGAAGCTGGCTCACCCACCATCATGAATGTCCTTGTAAGGGAGACTTCAGGCACACACCGGAGTGGGTGGGCGGATGCAGATGGAGACAGAGGCTGGAGCATCGTAGACAGGCCTTGATTTTTGCCCTGTGATATTGATCTTGGATGTCTGGCTGCCAGAACTGTGAGCTAACTACCTTAAGTTTTCAGTCACCAAGACATTTGTTACGGCATCTGTGGGAAACACTGTGACTCCTCCACGACCAGCCACACAGCTAGTTTGGAGTAAATATGGTGTTGCCTTGTGTATATGGCAAGTGTTCAGGACATGCCAGCTGTCATCACCGTGATGATCATCTTCGTGGCCGTAACCATGCCATCATTATGTAGCAATCCTGTGCTGGAGGCTGTTCCTTGGGTGAAATGTCACAATGGCTGTGAACTTAGATGCCACTGAGGTAGGGCAGGGTTTGGTGATTCAGTTTGGGAGGGCACTGTTAACAGAGGGTGGGGCTGGTTCAGGAAAACCAAGTACTTCAGGTGAACGCCCTCTCTGAGTCAGTTCCAGTCCCTCAGATTAAAGGCAATCGCCATATCACCTGGCCCCTTCCATTCTTGAACAAGGGTCTGTGGTGAAGGGGAGGGCGCCTGCTGCTCAAGTCTCAGAGAGTAAATGGAGTAAGAAGGATGTCCGTATGGGTGGAGGTGGCCCAGTGGGAAAACTGGGGTCCATGGGAAGGAAATGGGTGTACTCCTGGAAATGCAGACATGACAGGTGTCTTGGGTTTGGGGCTGAAGCAACAAGAGGAACTTGCTCACATTAACAGACCAATGAGAAGGCCAGGGAAGGGGCTAGGTGCACTTTCAGTAAGGACAGAGGACCAGGTCTACCAGAGCCAAAGCCTTTGCCTCCCGTTCAGACTTTACCCACTGGGGCTGCCGCTCCAGATGCAGATGTAAGTTCCAAACCCTGAGAGGATCCAGGAACAGTGTCACCTCAGTGGCCACCTGGTCTCGGCTTCTGAATAGCACACACCCCCGAAGGGAACAGGCCTCTGGACAGAGGACCAATCTCAGGGCGGGAGGGACAAGCCAGCAAGTCTGGGATAGTCTGTGTGAGTGAGTGAGGAAGTCCTCACTACATGGCGGGTGGGTTGAGCAGACCCGAGGCCAGCTTGAAGGGGCTGTCCCAGACCACACCCGCGATAGTCAGATCACGGCAGCAGCGGATTGCCACCTCAGGTGCAAACTGTGGCAAGAGCACAAAGTGTGGGGTATTTGCTACTTTTCAGAAAGAAACCGTGTTATAGTAGAGCAAAGTGGGAGGGGCCTTGCCTTAGATGATGAGATTGATCTACATATGAGACCCTGTTAAAAAAAATAAAACAAGCTGGGCAGTGGTGGCGCACACCTTTAATCCCGGCACTCCGGAGGCAGAGGCAGGAGGATCTCTGTAAGTTCCAGGCCAGTCTGGAACTGCAGAGCGAGTTCCAGGACAGTCAGGGCTCTTAAAGAGAGAAACCCTGTTCCAGAAAACCAAAACCAAACCCAAGCAAACAAAACTCAACAACTTTAGTATAGGGCCATTGAAATCACATGTGTCACACTGTGTGTCTGTCATGAGGGGACTCCGTGTGCTGCCACTGTGTTGAGAGACACAGAAAATGGGTTTTAAATGGGAGGATCTGCTTGTCCTCTTCAATGGTGTCAGTCATGGGAGTCTGGGAAAGACTGAGGAATGTTCCAGACTGATGGACACCAACTTCCAGGACAACTACACGGCATGGGACACATGACCCTGCACTGGGCCCCTAGACACAAAAGACAGATTGAGACTGCTGAATGGCATTGTTGCTCTGCTTGTCGGTGAACCACGGTTCTGCCGAATGCCCCCCTTTGGAGAAAATGAGCATTAAAGTAGTTAAGATAATTTCAGTGACAGGTCATTTGCATGGGGCTTGCAACATCTTTGAGAATTTAAGATTGTGTGTGTGTGTGTGTGTGTGTGTGTGTGTGTGTATGTTTCGGTTTTGTTTGTTTTAACTGTCTGGTACTTGAGAGGCTGAGGCAAGATTTGCCTGAAATTTGAGGTCAGCATGGGCTACATAGTTGATGTTAGGCCAGCCTTGAATATACGGTAATACTTGTCTCAATAAAAATAAAAAATAAAAGTAAGCCAGGCTGTGGTGGCCCACGCCTTTAATCCCAGCACTCAGGAGGCAGAGACAGGCCTCGTGTGGACAAGAGAATTCCTGGACAGCCAAGGTCTCTCTGTAAATAAGTAAATAAATAAACAGAAGTAAACAAATAAAAGGGGAAAGGAAAAGAAAAAGAGGAAAGAAGGAAGACAGGAGAAAGAAAAGGCAGGAAATGTTTTTATATGGCTTATGGAATTTTTAAGTAGCTAATATGTGAAAAGTGATTTTTTTAAACTAAAAAAAAAAAAAAAAAAAGCCCTAAGTTTTAGACTTGTTTTATGAGATGTGAAAAATGAACATCCTAAGGACAACAGCTGGTGGGGTGGACAGCATAATAGTGTCCTTTAGATGGACTGTGTGACCCTTAACTTTCCAGTCTTGACCCAACTGCTCAGCACACCACACAGCCCGCCACACCCCCTTGCCAGACTTCATCCTTGAGAGCTGTGGGAAGGCAAGCATCAACTGGAGAGTTGGGTGGATGGGTAGGTGGATGGACAGATGGACAGACAGATGGATGAGTAGATGGCTGGAAGGAGGGAAGGAGGGATAAACTTTCAAGACACCACAAACCCAAGAGGAGGCCATGCCCCAGGACATCAAGTCAGTGTTCTTGAGTCACACATGGCTTCAGAATGCCTTGGCTGGGATGAGCAGGTTGAGAAACCAGAGGCCCCACGCACACACGCAAGCTGTTATCTCTCTGTGGAGTGGATGGAGGTATCTGGAAGCTAGGTGGAGCTCTGGCAGAGGTGGGACTGTAGGCGGGCTGTTGTAGCTTTAGTAAGATTGTATCTTGGGAAGCCTGAGGCAGCCAGGCTGGGTGGGGTGGGAACAAGCCAAAGTTGTTGGCTTGGGCTCCTATCCACAGATCTAACTTGATGTGGCATGTTATAGTGTGTGTGTGCAAGAGATAATAATGGCCCTATCTTCCCCAGCCTGTGACTTCCTGGTTCCCAGGGGTCATGCCTGTCCATTGGATCAATCTCTTTTGTCATCTGCCCCCCCCAAAGTGTGAATTACAATCATTTAACAAGGTCTAGCATATGCTTTTTCGACACAAGTCATTCCTTACTGCCCTCAGGGGCTGCCAGCTCTTGACCACCCCCCAGCCCCTGCTCACCCTTCCCACCCCAGCTCCCAGCACATCCCGTTCCCTGCCCACTCCTCACAGCTCCCTGGTTTCCTGCACCCTCCATTAACTCCCTCAATTTCAGGCTTTGCTCAAGCCCCTCCGCCCCTTCAGCTCCCAGCTCAGTGTCACTCTGCATCAAGTTAATCATCCTCTGTCCGTCCAGACGCCTGGCTCACTTATCTCGGGACAGGATCTCTACCCCCAGACAGGCTTCAGGCTCCCTTCCACTTCCCAGGTGCTGGGGTTACAGGCATGCACCACACCGGGTTTACAGGGTGCTGGGATGCAACGCAGGCCCAGCCGAGCCACACCCTCATGCCTGCTCTGTTCTCCTTCACTCACAAGCCAGCTCCGAAACTGTCAGTCTGCGGGCTGTGCTGCACGGAGTCCCGACTAGACTTGTGGCTCCAGGCCGGGGGCTGTGCCCTGCACGGAGTGCACAGCCACGCAGAGCAGGGCCCTCGAACGCCCAGTGTGGGTGCACAGCGGGCTCTCCAGGGCGAGGGACTCGGGCTGCACTGAGCTCTGGGTTTTAGGGCTGGCTCAGCAGCGAGCGAGCGAGCGAGGCTGGGTTGTGGCTGGCTGAGGCGACCCCGGGTGCAGGCTGCGGGAGGACCCGGGACTGGGAGACACTGGGTGGGGACCGGAGCGGCGCGGGCCCGGACCCCAGGCTAGGGGTGGAGGTAACGAGCGACAGGGTGGCGGCGCCCTGCCTCGCCCACCCCGGGCGCTGCAGACCCGGAGCCCGCCGCCCGCGCTTCCGCTAAGCCCCGCCCCCGGCCAATGGCAGTGCGGCAGCGGGGGAGGCGGGCTCCCATTGGGCGGGAGGGCGCGGCGGCGGGCGCCTATTGGCCGGTCCGCGGAGGGGCGGGGCCGAGCGCTCCATGGCTCCGGCCTGCGGGCGGCGCTCGGCGCTCGCTGAGAGGCGCGGGCGGAAGTGGCGACGCTGGCGTCCCGGGAGGCGGCGGCGGGCGGCGACAGCCCGGGCGCGGACGCCCTCGGCGCGGGCTGGGGCATCACCAAGGGCCTCGACCCCGAAATGGCGCTGCTGGCCGAGCACCTGCTCAAGCCGCTGCCCGCGGACCGGCAGATCGAGACCGGGCCGTTCCTGGAGGCGGTGGCCCACCTGCCGCCCTTCTTCGGTGAGCCCCGGGCGCCGCCAGCCCTTCCCACCTGCCCCGATCTCCCTGCCCCCCTCCCTCCCCTCAGGTGCACCCATCGCCCCCCGCCGAAACGTGCCTCGCCGCCGCACCCCCGAACGCACGCCTTCACCCTCGGTTCCAGTTCTCCCCCACCCTTAAGAGAAACAAGCCCTCCCCCCCCACCCCGCCCCAGCCTCTCCCCACCCCGGATCGAATGCCGACCCCCACCTCCAAGGGTTTGAAGACGGAGCTGCAAAGCTCAAGGGCGCTGTTGAGGGGAAGCCGGGCAGAGGTTTCCTTCCCTCCGCTTAGGAGGGGTCAGCAGAAGGCGGGCGGCGGGGGCGCGGGGCGCGGGGGCGGCGGCGCCCTGCGCGGCTCCGGGTCCCGGGTCCCGGGTCCCTGCCTCGCTGCGGCTAGGAAAGGAGAAAGCAGGGCAGCCCGCGCAGGTTGCAGGCGCTTAGGAGCGTCAGACCCTCTCCCTCCAGCCCAGGCCTGGTTGGAAAGTGGAAGCAAGGGAAGCCAGTGCCCTTTGCCTTGCGGTCCGCAAAGGGTGCGACCTGAGCCTCGCTTTCTCCTTGGTGGGGACGCTCCGCTCCCAGTGCCCTGCCCCGCTAGCTCTTTAGTGACTTTGCAGGATGACACCAGCCCCCCCCCCCAGGGCACAGTCCGGTGGCAAGCCACACTTGGGCAGAGCTCAGCCGGAGGAGGCCTGGCACCCACGCCGTGGCTTGGTTGGCCCCTGGAGATGATGAGGGCTGGGGGGGGGGGCAGCAGCTCCCACAGCTGGTGTGTGGCCGTGAGATGTGTACACCCGTTTTCCTAAGCTCGGCGTTCCCATCTGTGAAATGGAGGTGTTGGTCTAGGCTGGATATGGTTCATGAACGAGGACTTTGTGACGAGCAGATGTCTGCTGTGGAGGGAGGGAGGGACAGAAAGTAATGCGCGAAGCTCTTGAGTCTAATCTTTGTCCCTTTCCATCGATGTCTAATGGGAGTTAACCCAACCCTGAATGCACTTGTCTGTGAGAGGTTCCCACCTAGAGCTGGGGGGGTTGTGGGGGTGGGTGGGGGTGTCTCGGCTTCCTCAGCCACTGCTGTGCCCCGGCACGGCCCAATAGTTTCTCCGTCAAACCTGTTGAGTGTGTGAGACCTGCTTGACATCAGTATTCATCAGTATCTCAGCTGGAGATGAGATTTCATCTCCAGGCAGGGAGTGCTGGCTCTAGCTTTGATTTTTTTATGAACATGTTGTTGTTTTAAATATATTTATGTATTTGAATGCGTTTGTATGCTGGGGCTGGAGGACAGTTTTCAGAAGTCACTTACTACCTTCCACCGTATGGGTCCTGAGAACTGAACTCAGGCCATCTGGCTTCACAGCAAGCTCCTTTACCTACTGAGCCATCTGGTCGACCCCGGCATTACTGTGTTTTGTGTGTCTGTTTCCTCCTGGGCTCTCTGAGTAGTTGCTAGTTAGAGCCAGCCTGACATGGGTTTGGAATCTACTGGAGCTGGTGGTACTGCAGTTTTGTTCCTTTGTGGGTATCTGCCAGGGTGTGGACATGGCTTTGTCCTTTGTAGTTGAAGGGGTGGTGCCACAGGGCACTATCCAGGTATTTGTAGATACCCCTCAACACACAGGACAGCCCTGGCACAGAGTGCTGAAGCCTGTCTTCACTGATGATGGTGTGGCTTCCCTGTCTTCACCAAGGCGACATGCCGGCTCTCCACTTGGGGGGCACCCTTTTGTCCGTAGGAGCATCTTACTGGTTTGAGAGGAGATGGGAGGAGGAGCTGGAGCCAAGGCAGGGGAGTGTCCCTCCCTCCCTGACCCTGGTCTCAAAGGGCTCTTGTCTTTGCTGCCACCCTGGGCTCTGGGATGTCACAGCTGTGGACAGAAGCCCCATTTAGACAGAAGCATCAGTAGAGTTGGCCTATGAAGGGTTAACTGGCATGGGTCACCCTGGAGCCATTTGCTGTTCAAAGAGGGTCATTCTTGGCACTTGTATAAAAGAAAACATTTTGAATGTGCTCTTTCTGGGTGGAGCTTTCTCCTGTGGACTCAGATGTCAGGGCCGGAAACCCACTGTCAACTCTAAGGTGGGGGTCTTGGTCTACATCTTTGGGGTGTCCCTGATCACTTGGGTGACCTGGGCACGGTATGTGTGGCCCTGGCCTACAGCTGGTCTGGAGTGATGGCCACAAGGAGCCTGAGAGGCATTGTTAGAACAGGTTCTCAAATCAGCAAAACCAAATGATGACTGCCCTTTATTGAACACTTATACTAGGTATTAAGGGTCTAGTACCACCATACTCGGTGTCAGGAACCTATTGCTTTTTGTCTGTCTGTTTTCTGTGGTAAGATCTCACTCTGTCCTGGAACTCTGTGCATCCCAGGCTGGTCTCAAACTTGCTTCTCGTGCCTCAGCTTCTAAACAGTTGGGATCACAGGTGTGAGCTACGCACTTGGCATCTCACAGCCTTTCAAAGCAGGGTTTTTAAAGGGCAACCTCTCTGCTGTCACTCCTCTCTCTGTATCTTAGAGAAGGAGAGAGAGAGAGGGAGAGAGAATGTTCGACCTCATTTTCCATCTAACTGCATAGTGAAGCTGCCTTCCTATGCCACTTGTCATATCCATAGTGGCTTAAGATTCTACTACTTGAATGTGGCCATAATTTAGCAGTCTCCTGGTGCTGGACACCCAATTGCTTCTTCCTTGCCACCGTGGTAGATGCTGCTGCTGCCAACGTCCCCGGGTCTACTTCTCTGCGTAGTTCTTCCGGTGTTTCTCAATTTTAGACGTGAACTTGCTGGATCCAAGGGCCTGTTGGGACAACCACCTTAACTCCTCAGGGTGTGGCCTGGGGCCATTGGCTGGGTGTGGTCAACACTGATTCTCTCTGTTCCTATGGGTGTGGGCCACATGTCATCCTGCTCCCTTTGGGGACTCATCCCCCCCTCTGTATCTCCAGCCTGAATTCCTGCGCTCACTCAGGCCTGCCCATACCCACTTAGAGGCCGGTCCTTTACCCATCTTCCCCCCCCCCCTCTGACCCAGTAATTGGATCCTCCCAACTGATCGGTTACAAGACTGACCTGTGACTCCTGCTCGCTTATCTTTTAGGTCGGCTATGCAGCCACTCTAGAGTCCAAGAGGCTCAACGCCCCCCACTCCCTCCCCCCACCCCGGCCAGAAGGCTCAGTGGCTCCCCATCCTAAACTCCGAGCTGCCAGCTCTCTGAGTGACTCCCAGACCCACAGATGGCATATGCCACCTGTCCCCAGAGCGTTCCCCGTGTTAGCCTCCTCAGTCAGCATACCTGTCCACTCGCCCACCCACAGGCCTCCTTCCTTTTGTCTGGCTGGAGTCCACTCGCCCTTGAGGAACTGGCTTAGCCATAACCCTGCCCAGAGTCTTTCCCCCTCCCTGTGGTTCCTAGGACCTATTGCATTCTGTGGCTCTGAGTGGCCTCTCTGTCCAGGACTCTGCAAGCTGGAACATTTGCTGACTGTGTCCTTTATTCTTTACTTACTTTTTTTTTTTTTTTGTATTTTGAGGCCCTTTGTAGCCCAGTCTGTCCTTGAATTTGTGACATCATCCCTGCCTCAGCCTCCAGAGTGCTGGTGTTACCGATCTACACCACACCTGGCTGCATGAAGGGGGTCTGGATGTGGGGGCGGGTTGTTTGCTTTTTATTTTTGTTTATTTTTCCATACCCATTCTTTTATGTTCTGGCCAAAAATGCTTGGCTAATCCATATTAAAATATGGGATTAGATCAGAAGGCATAACCTCTGCCCAACCTACACATGTGGCACGCCTTACTAATCCATCACAGTTCTGCTTTCTGAGTTTAGCATCTTTCCTAGAATGACCACTCTCTTGGTCAATTAAAGTTGGTCTGTGAGGTGACAGCTATGACAACTATTAGCTGTCATTGTCTAAGGAAAAGCCTGGGTTGGAGGAGTCTAAGGCAATGATCTCTGCCTCTCATTTCTTGAGATTTTAATACTGGGGATGTGTTTCCTTCATCTGTGACTCTTAGCGCAATTAAATAAGTGCCCTTGGGACCTGGCCTTGCAGGTGCCTGGCATTAAATGTTTCTAAAATGAGTCCAAAATGTGGTTCTCTGTCTCTTGATATAATGTTTGCTCTGTTGGGGTGGCTGGCCAAAGTACTTTAGGATCTCAGAGTCCTCTGCTTCTTGCAACCGAGGCCAGAGAAATTATAAAACTTGTCCAGGGGGCTGGAGAGATGGCTCAGTGGTTAACAGCACAAGGTCCTGGGTTCAATTCCCAACACCCACATGGCAGCTTAGAGCTATGTGTAACTACAGTTCCAGGAGATCTGACACCTTCATACCAATGCACATAAAATAAAGTTAAATAAATTGTTTTAAAAAAAAAAAGCTTGCCCAGGTCACATAGCCAATGAGTCCCCAGTCTGCCCAGACCAGAATTCAGGCCTTTGGACTCCTCATACAGTGCTCCTGCTCCTGGAGTCCTGTCCAGTAGAGGGTCACCTTGTGGACACAGCCTATCAGTCCCCTGCAGAAGTCCGGTAGTTTTCCTGGCACATACAGCAAGTGGCCAGGAACTAGATGTCCATGTGTCGTTCCAGGGGACCTCTGTCAAGCACCCTCCTGCCACTCTGAGCCTGTGCCTCCTGCTTCTTGCTGTACAAATCAGAATGGCTGGGGGACCATTAGGCTTGGGGAACCCCAGCCGGGACAGTGCTTCCTCTCATCCGGATGGACAGCCAGCCAGCCACCAGGGAAGCCGGTCTCCAGGACGCCTGTCCACAGCCCTGCCGTATTTTATGTCTGTTGACTCTCCTGAGAGAGGCACGGTGGAATTGTGCCTCCCCTCCGCCCTAGCAGGCTGGCGACAATCTCAGTGGCGGAATGTGGAGACCTGGGTTCTAGCCACAGACCAGGGGATGTAGACTGCGCTGGTACAGGGGCAGTTAGAAGAAGAAACAGTACCCGGTGGGGACCAGAGC